CTTATATATATATAAACTGTAATGTATACCATTTTAAATAGTATCTCAGCTTTAAGAAACATCGGACGTTACAAATTTTGGACGGCGACGCTAGGCGTCGCGACGCATACAAATTTATTTTTTGAACACATTTTTTTCTGTTTAGAAATAGGATGCCCATACAATGCTTAGCAATACTGAATAAAAACGTTTTTTTATATCTCTAATAGTTTTTAATATATAGCGGGATACGTAAATTAATATTGACGAGCATCATTCTACTAATTCTTCCATCATAGGTAACCATGGATTGAAAATATATGAACATTTGTTAATATGACTCAGTGTCAAATTTAGTCTTGCATTTGTTTCTTAAAAATGGCAAATCACCAGGAAAAGGTTGACATACTTTTAATTTCCGGTGAAGCTCGCCGTAATTCAAGGGCAGCTGTCCGACTTTATCGCGAAAAGTATCCAGACCGAGCTGTTCCTAACCACAAGTTTTTTACCCGATTGGAACAAAATTTAAGAAAAAATACAGACGCGTTTTCCTGTAGGAAACATGTTAATATTAAAAAAACCGTATGCAATGATGGCGTCGTAGCTGAAGTTTGTCAGTTTTTTGAACATAATCCTAGAGCATCTATTAATATGGCAAGTCAACAATTAAATATTACCTATTCCTCCATACGTCGAATACTTACGAAGAACGGATATTTTGCATACAAATTGAACAACTTGTAGCTTTTAAATGAAAATAATCGTAATAAACGCATAGATTTTTTAGCGAATATGGCCATATTGGAAGACTACAATAGAAGGATATATAATTACATTTTATGGACTGATGAGAACCGATTTGTATGTAATGGGCTTCCAAATAGGCAGAATGAAAGATACTGGGCCACCGAAAATCCTGATGTGATTAATGAAGTCGAAAATCAAGGCCACTTTGGAATTAATGTATGGTGCGGCATAATCGATCGATATTTAGTGGGTCCATATTTTTTCGATGACAATTTTAATGGATCAATCTTTCTCCATTTCTTAGAAAATGAAGTGCCCAATTTGTTGCAAAATATACCTTTCATGCAGGAAAATGTATGGTTTGTTTCAAATGGATGGAGCGCTCTATCACAATTCTGCAATTGTTACGCAATATATGAACCACGTATATCCTAAGAGATGGATAGGAAGATCTGGTCCAGTGCGTTGGCCAGCAAGTCACCAGACTTAAGCTGCATGGACTTCTTTTTATGGGGCACAATCAAGAATATTGTATATAGTACTCCCACAAACAATGTTGAATATCTTAAACAAAAAATTCGTGATGCTTGTAATACAATAAGTCGTGATACTCTTAGAAAAGTAAGCAATACATATGCATGCGAAACTCAGCAACTATACGCCAGATCGTTCATCCATTAACATTTGTCGCAGTTTCTTCTTAAACGCATTCAAATTTAGAGATTTCAAAGAGCCTGGTAGCGGATTATAACATTAAGGAAGGCAATAAGTGAAGGATCGTTCAAATAACGACGTCTCGTGTTTAGGAGGTCTAATAATACCTATATTTCTAATATTGATATTAGAACATCTGTTCTGAATGCCGTTCTCGAGTTATTCGAATTTTTCTAGAAAAATCTGCTCCAGCAGACATTTGTTCAAAAAATCAGAGAACACTTGATTTTTAGGTTATCAATTTAGGATTCAGAACATGCTTAAGCAACATGATGGAGTATGTTTTGGTGCCTAGTATGGCTGTCTAGAACGTTTGGTCACTTTACTATGGCACGTTACCTTTTCGAAACTTGGAAGTACCATAACTTCATTTCTTTAAATGACACCCCCCATATTTTATTACTTAGTCGTCTTCGGTGTCTCATTTTACATCTTTTATATCCCATATGTCCTATACCTAACATTTATAGTTTGGGAAATAATTAGGATTTATTGAAAAATGCACACAAATATCGATATTTAACCTAGTGTGTCATGAATACCTAGTGCGACTTAGTGAATAACCGAATGAAGTGGAGGTTTGAAAATTTGCAGAGTTGTGATGTTTGATGCGAGCTTTTTAACTAAAGTATTTTCAGGTTCCGGGTACTTGTGGTTACACCGGAAGAGGTGACAATTTTCATATTTTAAATTGAACACCTGAGTTTTATAACATTTTTCAATCAAAAATGTCAACTACAACGTTACTTTTTATAATTTATAAATCATCTACTTTGACCGCCGGAAAAAAAATTTTGTGTTGGGAATGTTGTTGTGGTTATGTATTATCAGAGGATCATTAAGGAAAGAGTAAACAGTTTGACATTTGCTAAAGCTATGGTTTATTTCTTTTGGTGTGATGACTAGGTTACTTTTTGTAGTGATCTGTTCTCAAGAAATGCCACGTTTGGAATTTAGTAATGAGGATTATTTGAATTTGATAATAATTTATGGAGAGTGCAGGGTGTTCCATTTGAAATATGAAAATTGTCACCTCTTTCGGTGTAACCGCAAGCACCCGGAACCTGAAAATATTTTAGTAAAAAGCTGGCATCAAACACAGAAGTCTGCAAATTTTCAAAAGGCCATACATTACATTACATAGAATACATATCGGGTAGGCGGACCAACCAACCTTGCACCGCGACCCTAAGGATCTATTGTACCCCGATAGATATTATCAAATTTCACCGTGCAGTCCAATGCTCTTAACGAACATTAATACCTTGCTCGGCGAAAGGTCATTCAGATCTTTTGAGGAGATAAACTGCGACCCAAAAATCGAGAATCTGATACGGTTAACGGCAGGGCAGTGGCATAAAACATGCTCAACCGTCTCTGCTTCCTCCGCACATAGTCGGCATTCAACATCGTCGGCTAAACCCAACAAGTTGAGGTGTGCTTTTAATCGGCAGTGCCCAGTAAAAACACCCATTAGAACTTTTATGCTACTACGGGCAAGTCCTAAAATATTCCCGGGTTTGACAGTGGCGATGTTAATAAACACCTTAGCATGTCTCATTCCAGGAGAACTGGTCCACAGTAGGCGAAGTCTCTCTTCAGCCCACAGTCCAATCCTATATTTGGCCATCGCAAATGATACACCAACTGCTGGTTCCGGTCCCACAAACGCTTCAGCGCTGCCATCTCGTGCTAGCTTATCTGCCGCTTCATTGCCAGCAACCCCAGAGTGACCCGGGACCCAGATCAGAGAGACTCTGTTATCACAACTCAGTGTGTTTAATGTTCTCTTACAATCATTAACCAGAGCCGACACCGTTTTCACGGCTTGCAGCGCCTGGAGAGCGGCTTGACTGTCTGAGAAAATTCGTACTGTCATGTTCTTCACCCCTCTTTCAAGAAGGATTTTAGCACCCATGTCAATAGCAAATACTTCCGCCTGGAATACAGTACAGTACGTACCCAGGCTGTAGGCTTGCTTAATTCGAGGTGTCTGGCAGTATACTCCTGCTCCTACCCCTTCAGGCGTTTTTGATCCATCTGTGTACAAGCAAATGTCTGCCCGAACCAGAGAATTTTCATTTTCGATCCAGGACTGCCGCTCAGGCAGTACAATCTGGTATCGAGCATTAATCACTGATAGTGATACCGCCAAATCTGACGGCATTGATAGCACAGTATCAGTGCTTATAATGTCTTCCGCAGCCCATTGGTAGGACATGTCGGAACAGTTTTGAGCATATTGCTTAAATCTGTAAATGGTTGTTCTAGCCACTTTCTCTATATGCAAATGCAGAGGAGATAGGCCAAGCAGAACCTCCATTGCTAGAGTTGGCGTTGTGCCTATCGCACCAGAGATTGCCAATCCAGCTACTCGTTGAATTCGTGAAAGTTTACTGATAACTGAAGTCTGTCGGACTTTCCTATACCAGGCTGCTGCTCCGTATGTGATCATAGGTCTAACCACAGTCACATAGAGCCAGTACAGTCTTTCAGGGGTAAGACCCCAATTTTTTCCACAAAGACTGCGACAAGTCCACAAGGATAGTCTAGCTTTGTGCAAAACTCCCTGCAAATGTCCATTCCATGACAGGGTTTTGTCTAGGATTACTCCTAGATATTTGACTTCCTTTGAGAAAGGAATTTCTTCACCTTGGATAGTTGGGCGGAGTTCAAAAGGCCAGTTCATACACTAGTTCGAGTGTTCTCTGATTTTTTTAACAAATGTCTGCTGGAGCAGATTTTTCTAGAAAAATTCGAATAACTCGAGGACGGCCGAATCAAATTGCAAAAAGTAAAGTTATTCATAAACTTTGAAAACAGACAAATAAAAAAATGTAAAAATATATAGGGTGTTCCATTTAAAAAAAAAAGTAGGTGGGGACTTCCGGTATAACCGGAAGTGCTAGAAATCTGAAAATATTTTAGTCGAAGAGAAAGCAATTAATAATACTTAAATCTGAATTTTCAAATTTTTGTATTGGCCACAACCCTGTAAAGTTCTAATGGATGGTCGTCGTGGATGACCCTGTATTATTATTTTATATTAGTAAATTTTTAGTCCATGGCTACCTATGATAGAAGATATATCAGGATAACACTCGTCAATATTAATTTACATATCCCGCTATACAGGGTGCCCATTATGTATGGAATATAGTATATATCTTGGTAGGTATCAACTTTATAAAAAAATATTTTATACAAAAGTTGTTTAATATTTTATTTGCCGTAATACAGCGTTCAATTGTTTTTATTTCAGAAAACAAATGAGCAATGAATAATACTTGAAATTTTTTAAATAGTAATGTAAATTTTCGTTCATTTGATATAGAGATTTTTTTCTCTTTAAGATGACGTAAAATTTTAGTACCCTTATATCACATAATTTTTGAAAAGAATGTAAAAATTGTTAATAAAAACAACAAAAACTTTACTAATTAAGCGTCGATATCCATGCTGACCATACCTGTTAATAGCAAAGAAAATAGGGAATACAATTAATGTGACAATGCGTCGCTCCACTATAAACACCTGTACATAAAATATGACAACATTTTCTTTGCTTCGCTAGTATCGTCGATCTTATCATTTATTGCAGCTCCAACATAAATGCACCCTTACAAATGTTGTCAGCCTATCAGTGTCATATGTGGATGGTTCAAAAACATGCTTTTTACAAGATTTTTAACATTTTTATAAGCTTATGAACAATTAGAAAGTAATTAATCAAACAAAACTAATTACTTAAAAAGATGCACTTTTTATTAATATTATCATTGTATTCTTAACTTATTTATCTTTAAACAAATCGTAACAATTAACAGAAAAATTAAATATGAAAACAATCTTAAGTTAAATTTCCAGATCCATATGTATTATCCCAAATCACATACTGATTTAAATCATTTGGTGAAACGCTTGATTTAACTCTGGTTAACGCTTTTCGAAAATCGTCTATATTAATTGCTCGAACCTAAAATTATTAGAAATGTATAAAATTAAATTAATAATATAATAAAGTAATTTTTTACCTCCGTGGATTGAATACTTTGTATTAAATGAACATCGATAGATCTAATTGGACCCATCGAAGCATCAGCGCAGAGATTTCTCATATCAGCACCAGAATAACCATCTGATAAACGAGAGATTTCTTCAAAATTTTCTTCCGACAACTTATGACGTTCATTCGACATCAATTTCTTAACTAATTGTAGTCTCGCCTTTAAGTTTTAAAACATTCATTTTATAATATGATTAAATTTAGTTCTAATTTACCGATAACTCTGGAAGTGGAATGTAAAGTCTTTTAACAAATCTCCTTCTGGCAGCTTCATCTAACTCTTGAGGACGATTAGTAGCCCCAATAACTAAAAGTCTTTCCTCATTATCCGTAGTTGCCCCATCCAATTGAACCAAAAATTCCGTTTTAATTCTTCTTGAACTTTCATGTTCGGTTTCGCTTCTTTGCGATAATAAAGAATCGATTTCATCAATAAAAATCACCTTTAAAAAAGCCAGAAATAAATAATTTTAATAAATTTAAATCAAAGAAAACTTTGAACATTTTTTTTACCGCTGGTTGATGACATCTAGCTACAGTAAATAAAGCTCTAACCATTTTTTCTCCATCTCCCACCCATTTTGATGTTAAAGATGATGCTGAGATGCTAAAGAATGTCGAATTACTTTGAGACGCTACACATTTTCCTAAAAGTTCAACCAAACAAAATATACTTTTAAAGAATTATTTAAGTTTTTTATGCAATTCATTTATAGCGAAGTGGAAATCAAAAAAAGAGCTGGTGGGGTTGCTTGTAATAGATAAGAAATGGGAACAACTAATTGAGGATACGACGGACGTAGATTGTTGGAGTTCTGCATGATGCAGAACGTGATAGTTACAAATTCGTTTTATAAACACAAAGATTAAGCACTTGCTGAAAAAAATAATACAAATACGACAACTATCTAAAGAAAAAAACGCGGGAAGTTATGATAAACATAAGAAGGAAATGAAGAAAGTCAAAGAAATGGTGATTGAGGCAAAAAAGCAAAATTGGATAGAGTTTGGAGATAAGATGGAAAAAGATAGAAAGGAAAATCAAAAGTTATTTGTTAAAAACTTATGGGAAAACTAAAGCGGTAAAGGACAAAAACGGAGTATTACTGAGGGATGACGAGAGAGATGGAAAGATTAAAGGAACACTTCATGGTACTGTTAAACATAAATAGTCAAAAGTTAAGTTACCAACCCCTATATACAAGAAAGAGACAGAACAGAAACATGAGCAGATAAACATGGAGGAGTTGAAATCGGTAATAACAGAATTAAATAATGGAAAAGCTCCTGGTCAAGATAGATTAGCCTCAAAAATGATAAAATATATGGAATCACAGGAAAGACAAGTATTACTACATACAGGATGAGTTATTAGTATCCCGACGGTCGACAGTTACTAAATCGTTTGAGAAAGAAAAAAAGCACTTTTTTGATTTTCTAAATAATTACACTGTGCTGCAAAATATTTCTACAATTGCTGAGTTGACTTCAAATATGCCTTCCATTTTTCTGTAACATGTCACGTTTTTTTTTTATTTAGGTGTTGTTTCACTGCTGCTGGACATACACTCAGTTCCAAAAAAAGTGACGCACTTGATTTTTGACCTAATTTTGATATCTTATATTTTTTAAACCAGTGGGCCGATTTTTATTATTTTTTGGTAGCCAATTCCTTTGTCTTTAAAAAAAAATTAAAAAGGTGGAAATTTTTTCAATGACTCCTGGATGGTAGTGGAAAAACTGGAACTATGTTTTTTTCCTATTTTTTGACTCACCCTGTGTATTAATCAAGTAATGGTATAAAAAGTGCTTACACCCTATATGAACGACGTTTCTTTTATGAGCATTTTGTTTTTTTATTTATTAATTTATCTCTAAAATTGTCCAAATTGAAGCTTTTTTGTTGAAACCTTGCATATTGCCAACATTCTGAATTTATGGAAAAACAGTTTTCTAGTGAAATAAACTGATACGAATTTTTAAAAAAGTTTTTTGTAATTCGCTACAGTACTCAAACGGGTGCTGTAATGAGACTCCTTACAACATCCGATGCTGTAATGAGACTCCTTACAACATCCGATGCTGTAATGAGATTTTAGTAACATTTTATGGAACCAGTTCAAGTTGGTGACATTGGGTCATTAATTTTTCTAGTTGTCAATGTGACAATTTTTGTCTATGGATGTTTAAACACGTTCTTAGCGTCGAATACAAGGTCCAGAATGATGAGGACATTGACTCTGAGCAATTTCTCTTATTTTGGGAGGTGTACATCCAACATTTTTTTCAGGCGAATATATTTTGTGTTTTGGCAGTTTCTAATTGTCAATTCAAAGTTTCTATTTTCAAGTGTTCCGGTGTTACCAACTGCTACATACCTATTTCCCTACATTGCCAAAATTTACTTTATTTTGTTAAAAAAAAAGTATAAAAACGCGAATTACAAAAAATGGCATAAAAACACGTTTCATAAGACTTAAAGCACTCATTCATTAAAAAACTCGTGGCTTCGCCACTCGTTTTTCAACTTGAATTCGTGCATTTCAAGCGTGTCTTACGAAACTTGTTTTTTAATATACTATTATTAAACACTAAATTATAAACTGAGATAACTGCTTAATACCGTGTATTGCCTCCCCTAGCAACTCTAAGAGTTTCTAATCTAAGCGGCATACTGGAAATCAGGTTTTCTTATCGTTTCCATTGGTATACGGAAGAATGATCTTCCACTAACGCATCTGCTATTTCTACGAGGCATTCCTGAGGCCTCTCGCGAGAACGTACCCTTCTCCCTAATTCATCCCACAAATGTTCGATAGGGTTCATATCGGGGCTTCTCACAGGCCACTGTAATGTGGTCATACGCACTATTACTGCGGTGTGTGGTCGGGCATTATCCTGCATCAATATAAAATTATTGCCCACTAACTCTGCATGAGGTAAGATATACTGTTGTATAATGTCAATGTAAATTTGGGCCGTCATCGACCGCCTCACCGGAAAAACATGAAGGGGTGTCTTTCCATTCATTGACATCCCTCCCCACACCATAACCGACCCACCAATAAAACTTTCGCGTTCTGTTATTAAATTCTGATTAAACCTTTCGCCAGTCCTTCTCCACACTCTTTTTCTTCCATCCACCATGTTAAGGCAAAACCTTGACTCGTCCGTAAACAAGACATTCGACCATTCAGGAATATTCCATTCTCCATAATTTTGAACAAAATTTCTTCAAGCAGCACGATGTTCGGGCAATAATTTAGGACCTTTTCCAGGTCTCCTAGCTTTTAAATTAACTTCTTTTAGACGTCTACATACCATCTGCTTACTTATTGCAACACCACGAATTTGGCGAAGATCTTGCTGAACATTTACCGCAGTGTTTGTTCGATTCCGTAAAATCCGCAATCTCAAGAAACGATCATCTCTTGGAGACGTTTTTCTAGGACGACCAGAAGCCACCTTCCGAGCAGTGCTTCCTGTTTGTTCGTACTTGCGGATTGCTCTACGAGTAGTTGCTTCATGGACTTCCACTGCACGAGCGGCGTAACGTTTACCACGCCCATCGTTTACTAAAGCAACTAATCTTGCTACTTGTTCTGGATTTATTTGAGGCATTTCATGTAATTTTAATCACTACAAAACTTTTTTGTAGTTAATTAATGACACAACGACAAATTAATTGCTATGGCAACGTCAATTATTTGACAATGTGATCATAGTTCCTAAATCTGTGGGATAAACGTAAGGTTTCAACAAAAAAGCTTCAATTCGGACAATTTTAGAGATAAATTAATGAATAAAAAAGCAAAATGCTCATAAAAGAAACGTCTTTTATATAGGGTGTAAGCACTTTCTATATCATTACTTGATTAATACACAGGGTGAGTCAAAAATTAGGAAAAAAACATGGTTCCAGTTTTTCCACTACCATCCAGGAGTCATTGAAAAAATTTCCGCCTTTTTAATTTTTTTTTGAAAGACAAAGGAAGTGGCTACCAAGAAATAAAAAAATAATAAAAATCGGCCCACTGGTTTAAAAAATATAAGATATTAAAATTAGATCAAAAATATTATAGTATTATAGGGCAACTGTAGATGCAATGAATTTGATATTTGGCACCTTGATATAAGGTGAAGAGATCTACCTTTTAGTGGCAGTGTCATGTTTGTACTACTTCCGGCTACACCGGAAATTGTTGCTGACATTACTATTTTTATGAAAATTTTATTTGGTAGTTGGCTATAAAATGTAATAATAATAATAAAGATGTTTATTGATCAGATAAGAAACAAAATAAAACAAAGAGTAATACAAAGACAAATAAAATTAAGAAATTAATGAGATGTGTCTAAATCTGATCAAAAAGGGTCATGTCAGGTCGACCAAGAGCACTAGTCTCCTGATCAATCTGTTTTTCAAAGACCCTCATTTTGAATACAACAACAAAATCAAAAAGGTACAACCGAACGATTCAAGTCAATAAAAAAAAATATTTTTTTCTTTCCTTTCCTCTTCAAAAATAATAATAATAACAAACTAAAATCTATCATTCAACAGATCACTCAAAAACACCTTAACTTTGCTCTTGAAGGAAATCAGACCAAGACCTTTGAATGAATCAGGTAGCAAGTTATACAAGTTAGGCATACAGTAAGAAAAACTACGTTTAAATAGTTCTAAGCGGTGGAGAAGTATCGTCAGTGTATGTTTATGCCTAACATTAATATGTGTATGTCCGTGCGAAATTTAATCTTGTTATTTTAATATATAATTTTATGGTAGAGACACAAAGAGTGTAGAGTTCTACGTCGCGTCATATTCAGCCATCCGGCCCACGCCAGCGCATGCTCCCCCCTACGTATACCGTATATAAAACGTAATCAGGAATTTTGAAGAGTTTGCATCTTTGCCATATGGACACTGTCAAGACAAGAGTGATAAACTACGTCACCATAGTTAAATATTGACAATACCAGGACATCACAAAGCTGTATTCTAAGTTTCTGGTTCAAGATATATCTATTATTATAAAGCAATTTTAGGGTGGAATAGGCTCTCCGTAGAAGGGACTTGACATGCCCATCAATAATGATCCCCAGATTCCTGGCATCACTCTCAAAACCGAGCTCATTGCCAGCGACCTCCGAATGCATGTTGGATTTAACAAAATCAGTAGAAGCCTCATCACCAAAAACCATAACTGAAGATTTTGAGGTATTTATTTGAAGACAAAGCTTACTAGGAAATTGTTCAACATGATTAAATCATGGTTTATATTGGCTTGAGCAGTCTCAAAATCGCACATGTTAAAAGAATAAAGAAGCTGAGTATCATCCGCATATATGTATGGCGTACAATGATTTAAAACATTAGTAAAGCCGCAGAACAAGATAGATAAAAAGATAAAACTGAAAGTCCAAATATTAACATATGCCAATGATTCATGAACACTCCAAGATAAACAAGAAGGAAAGATCACGTCAATGGAAATGAAATTTTTAGGGAAAACAGTGGGGAAGACGAAGTGGGAGAGGATAAGGAATGAGGAAATAAGACTGGGAGTAGATCAGGAGGAGATAATCAGCAAAATAGAGAGGAAGCAACTAAACTGGTACACCCACATAATTACAATGGAACATAACACAATAATAAAAAAGGTATTTGAAGCAAAGATAAGGGATAAAAGAAAGAGGGGAAGACCTAAGAAGAAGTGGGAAGAAAGAATAACAGAAATTGGGAAGAAGAGAGGAAGACTCTAGCAGATATAAAGGAATGAGCTAGGAACCGGAGGTAGTAGAAGAAGTGGATAGAGGAATAAGAAAAGACTTATCCGACGCCATCAAACATAAGGATCAGGAGAAGAAGAAAAATAATCGAAAATATAATGTTATTAGTATTGGTCGTTTGAAACCAGCTTTCATATTAGCTGATAATTGTCCAAATTCACTTTCTACTTTTTCTCAAAAGATTAAAACTGAAAAGAGTGTAACTTTTTTTTAATTCTACAAGCCTTATTGCCATTTTTTTCCGAATTCTCCATTAAACTATACCAGGTAGATAGTATTCAAAGATATTCAACACACTATACAGCGTGTTCATAAAACTTTGTAAATTTTGATGTTATTTTAAATGGCTTTTCCATAAATTTTTTAAATGAAACACCCTATATATTATGTGCTGGTTGAACAGCCAATCAAGCTACCTTTAATTTATGTTAAGTACGTCATGTCCAATTTCAATTTTAGTTGTTTTAGGGATATTTACAATTTAAAGAAAAATGTACTTTAATTAGTACTGATTTAACTTTAATGAAACAGTACTGTAATTTAATTTTTATTGATATTATTACCATTTATTAAACAACAAATCCCTTTTTTCTCTCAGTAAGTATTTGAAGCAAATGCAGAAACAAAATATTAACACTTACTAAACATTGCATAACAAGTAGCTATTAATTTAATTAATAGGCAAGTCGACATAAAACATGAATATCAATAATGAGTTATTATAATATGAATTAAGTTCTCATAAAACTAATAATTGAATTTTGAAATTTTTGCAAAATATTATTTGATTAATAATCAAAAAGTGATAAAAATACAAAGAGTAAAATGAAATGGCAGAACAACTGCATGTTTAATTAATTACTTACACTTTTCTAAATCTCATAATTTTATAATATTTATCAAGTAATCATATTAAAATTGGGTATATGACAGAAAAATTATTTTACATTATAAAGTATTAATCAAACAAAAACAAAAAGAACAAAAAATAACTGAAAAAAATAGATAGAATGCAATATTAAGTACAATAATGGCATATTTTATTACATATTTTTCTTTAAATTGTAAATATCACGAAAATTACTAAAAATGGACACATGATATAGTTAGCATAAATTAAAGGAAACTCCATGGTCAATTTAACCAGCATATAACAACAGGGTGTTTCATTCAAAAAACATCAAAATGTACTAAGTTTTATGAACATACTGTATAGTATATCTAATATCTTTGGATACTATCTACCTACATGCTTTCACTATTATCTGACATAATTTAAACGCAAATATACATACAGGGTGATTCACATAAGAACCGACACAGAGCAGGGACATGTAGAGGACAATAAATTAAGATGATTTAACGTAACTTACATCTATACTAAGTTGTACACCTCAGGAGTTATAGGCCTTCAAAGTTGGCTCTTAAATTTTTAAAAAGTTCAATATCTTTGTAATACATTAAGCTAGAAAAACCAAATTTGGTATACATTATGAGTGTACCAAGGGTATTAATTGGTAGCAAATTGAACTCAATTGAGGCATTTCATAGGGTTCATTAAGGGGGATGGTACCCTAAATTTTGACACATTTTTTTAACCTTTTGGCGGATTTAATACATTACTACTTCATTTCATGTGGAATTTAATTCAAAAACTTTTCTTACTCATATTATTTTTTAAAAAACTTTGTCGTTTTCGTAAAAAACTTAAATAACTAAAGACACGTATTTCGTAATGTTACTTAAAATAAGAGAAAATTTAGTAGTCGGCTATGAAATTGTACGTCAAACTTGACAAATAGGGTATAAAGTTATTTGACGACAAAGTTTTCTCCATCTTTCCTCCATCACCTTTCATTCTTGAGTTATGATCGATTTTAACACCAAAAGTACTCAATTTTGACATTTTGGGGAGTTTCTCTTCATCACCTGAAAATCATTACATATAAACTAAATTTGTTTATGAATGATGTCTTCTTAGTTGACAATAAGCAACTTATTCCTAAAAAACTTTTCTCCATCACCTTTCATCCTTGAGTTAGGATCAATTTTAATACCAAAAGTACTCAATTTTAACATTTTGATGATTTTTTCTTTATCATTAGAAAATCATTATACCTAAACTAAATTTGTTTATGGATGATGTTTTTTTAGTTCATAATAAACAATTTATTCCTAAAAAACTTTTCTCCATCACCTTTCATCCTTGAGTTATGATCAATTTTAATATCAAAAGTACTCAATTTTGATATTTCGACGATTTTCTCTTTTTATCATTAAAAATTTATTATAACTAAACCAAATCTGTTTATGAGTAATGTCCTTTTAGTTCATAATAAACAATTTATTTCAAATAAACTTTTCTCCATCACCTTTAATTTTTGAGTTATGATCTATTTTAATACCAAAAGTACTCAATTTTAACATTTTGATGATTTTTTCTTTATCATTACAAAATCATTATACCTAAATTAAATTTGTTTATGGATGATGTTTTTTTAGTTCATAATAAACAATTTATTCCTAAAAAACTTTTCTCCATCACCTTTCATCCTTGAGTTATGATCAATTTTAATACCAAAAGTACTCAATTTTGATATTTCGATGATTTTCTCTTTTTATCATTAGAAAATCATTATAACTAAACCAAATCTGTTTATGAGTAATGTCCTTTTAGTTCATAATAAACAATTTATTTCAAATAAACTTTTCTCCATCACCTTTAATTTTTGAGTTATGATCTATTTTAATACCAAAAGTACTCAATTTTGACATTTTGGTGATTTTTTCTTTATCACTAGAAAATCATTATACCTAAACTAAATTTGTTTATGGATGATGTTTTTTTAGTTCATAATAAACAATTTATTCCTAAAAAACTTTTCTCCATCACCTTTCATCCTTGAGTTATGATCAATTTTAATACCAAAAGTACTCAATTTTGATATTTCGATGATTTTCTCTTTTTATCATTAGAAAATCATTATAACTAAACCAAATCTGTTTATGAGTAATGTCCTTTTAGTTCATAATAAACAATTTATTTCAAATAAACTTTTCTCCATCACCTTTAATTTTTGAGTTATGATCTATTTTAATACCAAAAGTACTCAATTTTGACATTTTGGTGATTTTTTCTTTATCACTAGAAAATCATTATACCTAAACTAAATTTGTTTATGGATGATGTTTTTTTAGTTCATAATAAACAATTTATTCCTAAAAAACTTTTCTCCATCACCTTTCATCCTTGAGTTATGATCAATTTTAATACCAAAAGTACTCAATTTTGATATTTCGATGATTTTCTCTTTTTATCATTAGAAAATCATTATAACTAAACCAAATCTGTTTATGAGTAATGTCCTTTTAGTTCATAATAAACAATTTATTTCAAATAAACTTTTCTCCATCACCTTTAATTTTTGAGTTATGATCTATTTTAATACCAAAAGTACTCAATTTTGACATTTTGGTGATTTTTTTCTTTATCACTAGAAAACCATTATAACTAAACCAAATCTGTTTATGGATGATGTCTTTTTAGTTCATAATAAACAATTTATTTCAAAAAAACTTATCTCCATCACAATTAATTTTTGAGTATTGAAAAGTACTCCATTTTGACATTATGGGGATTTTTTCTTTATCACTAGAAAATCATTACATCTAAACAAAATCTGTTTATCAATAATATCTTTTTAGTTCATAATGAACAATTTATTCCTAAAAAGCTTTTCGTCATCACCTTTCATTCTTGAGTTATGATCGATTTTAAAAACACTTAATTTTGACATTTTTGGGATTTTATCTTTATCACTAAAAAATTATTATGCCTAAACTAAATTTGTTTATGGATGATGTCTTTTTAGCTCATAATAAACAATTTATTCCTCAAATTACGTACAATTTCACAGCTGACTGAATTTTCGATGATTTTAAGTAGCATTAACAAGATACGCGTTTTTAGTTTTTTGAGTTTTTTATGAAAACGACAATGTTTTTTAAAAAATAGTAAGAGTAAAAAAAGTTTTAGAATTAAATTCCACATGAAATGAGGTAATAATGTATTAAATCCACAAAAAGGTTAAAAAAATCTGCCAAAATTTAGGGAACCACCACCCTTAATTAACCCTTTGAAATGCCTCAATTGGTCTCAACTTGTTTGTGTCAACAAATTTGGTTTTTCTAGCTTAATATATTACGAAGATATTCAATGTTTTAAAAATTTAAGACCCAACTTTGAAAGCCTATAACTCCTCAGAGGTACAACTTGGTATAGAGATAAGTTGCGTTAATCACCCTGTATATTAAGTTTTTTATGTACCAATTAAAGTTTTTCCTGTTCCTGGTGGTCCAAACAATAAAATTCCTTTTGGTGGTCTTCTAAGACCAGTAAATATATCTGGTCTTAACATAGGCCAAACCACAGCTTCTTGAATAGCGGTTTTGGCAAATTCTAACCCTGCGATATCACACCATTCTATCGGTGGTCCACAATCCATTATCTCGGACTTAATTAATTCAACCATTCTAGGTTCAATATTTTTTAAACGATCATCTGTAGCATCTTTTATCCATTCTTGACTTTTTGAACTATTTTCTTGGCCACTATAAAAATTAATATGAATGAATATTTTTAATTTTAAAAGTTTCCATATCAAATACCTATTATTTGATTTGTTTTCGTTATTTGAGAGCATGGGAGAAACAAATTTACTGCCAACAAATCTTCTAGTTCCTAATCTTTTTCTTTGTTTTATATTGCTTCCATTAGTGTTCATATCATTGTTTCCATTGGTATTCATATTATTGCTATTATTCCCCTGTTTCTGTTGTAAATTTAATTCATCCCCAGCTGTTCTAAATGAAAATAAATTATCTTTTTTCACATTTTTATCAGTTCTTTCTAAAGCTTCTCTATTCTTAAACCCCTTTGATGTTGTAAGATGATGATTTAAATTAGCAGTAACTTTTTCTTCAACTTGATTCACTTTTTTAGTGTCAAATAAAGACATGAAAGCGTTAAAGTTTTCTTCTGAAGGATTCTCAGACTCTATACATATTATTGAGTTTGAACATTGCAACTTGGGCAAAAAAGACTCCATATTAACGTTTCCTAATGAAGTTTTTCTTTCAGGAATTGTTATATTTTGATTTTCCAAAATTTCTTTCATCTTTCTTAAGTTGTTGTCATCTCTATTTTCTAACAGTTTTAAATCCCGTTCAAGTAAAGCACCAACAGCATTATTACTTAAACTAAAAATCAATTACATTATATTACCTAATTAATATATCATATATGTATTAACTAACTTCATATCTTTTAATTAAAATCTACAAACCTGTTGACTGAAATAACATTATTTAAATAAGCTAATTGTTTCAAAATCACATCATTTTTTGTAGGATCTTTATTTTCTTGCAGGTGATGATACAGTTTTAATAATTCATTTTCATTTGAAGCACTCATTTATTTAATCAGTTAGTTAAAAATAATTCTTGAAATTAACGGTCTTAATTTTAGGTTATGTAAAAAGCGCCATCTACAACATTTTTATACCAAAGCAATTGTATACAGGTGTCCCGTATCTTTCGGACCAGAGCATAATACGGTTGAAGGATACATTATTCTGAAGCGATTTTTCTCATAAAATTTTGTCAAAATGTTTATAATAAACGCACGGGAACTATTTAAAGTCGTCCAATAGGAGATCGTACATCAGGCCCACAAATACATAAATATATAAAATATACAGGTATCTCGCGTAACTGGTTCGTTAGAACTATTTCAGGTACCACTATTCGTAGAGGTTTGAAATTTTGGTAGCATGGATTGTTCATTCCGGTCTGCCGGAAGTAGACCATAACTTCGTTATTTTAAAGGAAATGCTATAGTTTTTATTGCACCTTTTAATTGTACGTAAAAAAATATATTGACGTTGATAAAAGTTATTGTATTTGAGCTTTTTTTGAAAAATTTCACCATGCTTTTTAAAACCCCATATCTCAGCCAACGTTGATTCAAAAAAGCTCTAAATTGGTATGATTACTCTTGAGATGTTGTCAAATACAGAATGGTCAAAAATTGAGTTACTGTTTCTGCATATTCAATGGCGAGAAAATCGAAAATTTTAAATGGAACGAGCCACATTTTATTAGTCTATCTGAAAGACAATTTAATTCTCTACAAATTATCTATAAACATTCCTATACCTATTTATTTCGAAATTTATTTAAAAGTTTGTTGATTATCTTGCTTGTATATTTATTTTGTTTAGCTAAACAAAAATATAATTAAGTTCCTTAAGGCGTTTTTCATTTGAGAATGGACTTGCAACATGGTTTCCTACAATTAAGAACAATATTGTTCTTAATATTATTCTTAACTACTCGTAAGGAAGAATATCAAAATATTAACATCGTTCATGAACCGTTGATCAGTCGAGAAAAAAATCATTCTTCTGCCACTACAAATAAATCTAGGATGTCTAGGAAATATGATCTAGGAAATATAGGAATAGAGATTGCTTCAAATATATTTGTCAATCATTTGTTGCTCTCAGTATAGAAAAGTTGAAAGCAGGATTTTTTGATGAGCCACAAATCCAATCTCTTCTAGACAACAATGATTTCACAAACCACATGAATCAAGTTGAATTGTAAGCATGGATAAGCTTTGTATCAGTTGTCAAAAATTTCTTGGGGAATCACAAAGCTGAAGAATATTTCGAAATAGTAAACAAAATGCTCCAGAATTTCTAAAAACTAGGTAATTTAGATCAATTTTCTGACAACCTGGGTGGTTACAGAGAAGAAGAAGGGGAACGGTTCCACCAAGACATCAAAGTTATAGAGATAAGGCGCTGGAATCGTCATATGATGGCAGATTACTGCTGGAACTTACAAATAGACAGTCTGGACTAAAAACACCATAGGAAATCCCATACACAAGGTTTTTCTTAACTCTTATTGTTAACTTACTTCTTATTGTTATTGTTATATGTTTATGTTTTTTTTGGATTCTTAGTATCATTTACAGTACAAGGTTTTTTAAGATGTTTAGCAAAATCATTTGCTAAACATCTTAAAAAACCACGTGATATGATGAATCTCATTGTCAGTCAATAAAGTTATCATCCTGTAGGTATTTTAGCTTGTTAAAGAGACATAGGATTATCAGTATCAGATGTGATTTCATGACTACTTTCTTGAAATTCATAATTTTGTTTTTCAAACATAAGGACTTCAACGACTATCAAAATCTTCGTCATTATTATAAATCTCTAAATTAGTATCTGTTTACAAAGACTCGTCAGATTCGTTGAAGTAATTCATCTATATCATCACTTGGAATGAGCATTTCTTTAAACAGTGTATTTTGATTACTTATGGTACGTTCACTTTCGAACTAAGCCCATTAGCACTCCATAATAGTATATTATTATATGAGCATATAATGAGGGCTATTATTCACGAAGGTTAAGTTTATGTCACGAGCGTAGCGAGTGGCATAATTAACCTGAGTGAGTCTGAGTGTAGTCTGGTCAAGATGGCATTATTCACGGGTAATAATGATTATTATTCACCGCTATTATTCACTCCGTGAAAAATGACTACCATTTTGTTTTAGAAAACTCATTCATAAGGTGTTTTGTGACAGGGTGTTTCATGACGTTTTACTAATGGAGCATGTTGTTTAGGTGATTTGTAATAAAAAAGTTCATATGACCATATGTCCGATTCACTTCACTTATTGAGTTATATGAATTTGAAAATAATATTTAAAAATTATGGCGTTACGGCCCAGCGCGAGGCTCAAAGGGTAAGTGTGCTATGACTGCATTAGTAAAATAAAGTATATACTTATTTACCTTACTGTCAAATTTGACAAGCTTGCCGTTTAATCTAAAATTATTTGAGTTTTATTTGTGTACAATGCCGTTTAAGTTTACGACTGTTGAGTATGCTGATATGGTTTTTGTACTTGGAAATTGTGATGGAAACGCTACTGCAGCTTCAATTAAATATCGACGACGTTTTCCAAATCGGCGTGTTCCATCGCCGAAGACTTTTAGTAGTACCTTCCAAGCTCTCCGAGAAACTGGTTTACTTCCGAGCGTTCATATGCAGTATGAACGAGCAACACAACAAAATGTTGCAGAGGAAGAGAACATCCTTGACATTGTCGAGCGCAATGCCTGCATTAGTACGCGACGCATATCCATACGTTTAGGGATTCCCAATACCAGGGTATGGAGAACATTAAAAAGAAATCTGCTGCATCCGTATCATCTACAGCGTGTTCAACATCTGAAGCCAGAAGACTTCCCTTTTGGCATTTTGTCAGTGGTTAAATAATAATCGGAATTTGTATCGCTACATTTTATTTACGGATGAGTCACAATTTACTCGAGATGGCATAAATAACATCCATAATTTGCATAAATGGTCGGACATTAACCCTCATGCTACCATAGAAAGTAATTTTCAAAGCAGATTTAGCATTAATCTGTGGTGCAGAATGTTGTACGATCAACTTATTGGACCGTTCATTTTTGAAGATCGTCTTACCGGACAAAGGTACTTGCAATTTTTGGAAGAAAACTTCCGCGTTGTGGGATGTACCTCTGGCAAGACGATTAAGAATGTATTTACAACACGACGGAGCTCCTTCTCATTTTTACCGTAGAGTCACCGATCATCTAAATGAACGTTATCCTAACCGCTGGATCGGTCGAGGTGGACCGCACGTTTGGCCAGCCAGATCTCCAGATCTCAATCCTCTGGATTATAACATGTGGGGTTGGATGAAAGATTTAGTATATCAAGAAAAAGTAGACACTCGTGAGGCTTTAATCCAAAGAATTTTTGACGCTGCAACGCAAATAAAGGAGCACCGTGCAAAGATAAAAAATGCAACGGGAGCCGTTCACAGGCGTGCAGATAAGTGTATTGAAATAGGAGGTGGAATTTTCGAAAATGTTTAAAATTAATAAATTATTTTTTCAAATTATAATAAAAAGTAACATTATCGCAATTACTTTATTTTTAAATGCATAAGTGTAGCTCAATAAATAAAGTGAATTGTCTTGCTCAATGCTTTTTTGGTCATTTTTGGTCAAACATGACGGTAACCTCAATAAGTACTTTATTTTACTAATGCAGTCATAGCACACTTACCCTTTGAGCCAAGCGCTGGGCCGTAACGCCATAATTTTTAAATATTATTTTCAAATTCATATAACTCAATAAGTGAAGTGAATCGGACATATGTTCATATGAACTTTTTTATTACAAATCACCTAAACAACATGCTCCATTAGTGCCGGGAGAACTTCATGAAACACCCTGTATTATAAGGTAGTCGTGGACAAAGATATTTTATTGATATAACTAAACATTTACGATTTAAATTTTTGATAACAGCCACATCCATTGCTTGCGTTATAGATTATTGGAAAGTAAAAATTGTAATTCATGTGTGGAATGAGCAAGACAGTTATCGGTTTCCCTCATATTGGGAAATTTATCAAAACACGCACGGAATGCAGAAATTTTGGAGTGCGGGAATTTAGCCCCCCATTTTTTGATTTTTAAATTTTTGATTATTGTTCTAGATTGTTCTAGAGTTGTTCTATATTGTTCCAAAGCGGCAAATAGAAAAAATAAGAACTCCTAAGCGTTAATTTTCAATTCCAAAATAGTAAGCGTTAAAGTTCAAAATTTTGATTATAGTAGGCGGGTTCGGACAGTAATTAAATTACTACTTAATTGCTATATGGTTTTGCACGAATATGACAGAAAGTTGGTCTTGTACCATTATGCAGGATAAAGTTGGTTTTGTACCAACGAATAAAAACTTTGAATAGTTGATTTAAATTTCTCAGTGTCTTATCCCTGACTTTGTTCACCAATAAAAAATGATTTGTAGATAAAGTTTGTTTATTAAAAATACAAAAAACGTATTAATTAATGAATAATTAAATATGAACAACAACTTCAGGAACTAAACAGTCACAGAGTGTGTCATCTTCTTCTACTAAACTTACTGTTTGTAAGGTTAGAACAGTTGGGTATAAATGAATGAAATCTTCGGTAGTATCTTCCCAGTTTTCCCCAACCATGAGATTTAGAAGTTTTTTCATATTAGCAACCTTTTCTTTTGAAATTGGGTGAAATAGAGGAAGATTACGGATCATAAACTGAGCAACGGACTTCCCATTGAAACGATGTTTATATGGGATATGGAGCTTTATCTATCATTTTCAAAGAATCATTTTTTAATTTTTCGCTTTATGTATTAGAACAACAGAATCATGTAACCCTTTAAATTCAACTGGTGGGTTTGAACTACTTTCAGATGCTTATGATCCTGCTCTATGGTTAAAACTACTAACTCACTCCCAATTTGATGAAATAGTAGAAAAGGGCCCGTTACAAGTAAAAAATTTTAATTTTCAGAAAAAAGACTTTTTTCTGCCAATTTTTACAAACGAACTATGAATAATGGTGAACAAGTGCACAGACGTTGGCTAGTTTACAGCAAAAGTACTGATAAAGCATTTTGTTTTTGCTGCAAATTGTATGGAAATGACACTGGATCTCAATTAGCTAACGATGGGTATAGTGATTGGGCACACTTGGGCAGAGCTCTTGATAATCACGAAATATCAGCAATTCATGATCAGAATGTTGGAAAGTGGACGGATTGTGAGATACGTTTAGGTGAAGCGTCCACTATTGATAAGCAACATATAAAATTGATAAATAAAGAAAAGGAACATTGGCGTGAAGTTCTTAACAGCATTGTTAGTGGCATTAAATATTTAGCACAGCACAATATTGCTTTCAGGGGATCGAACTCTAAACTGTATGAGCCAAACAATGGCAACTTTTTAGGACTTATTGAAATGATGGCTACTTTTGATCCAGTCATGCAAGAGCATTTGGGGCGAATCAGATCGTCTGAGATTCACGATCACTATCTAGGAGCAAATAATCAAAATGAGTTGATTAAACTGTTATCTGAAAAGGTGAAAGAGAAAATTGTTTCAGACATTAAATCAGCTAAGTATTTTTCTGTACTACTAGACTGCACTCCCGATCTCAGCCACTAAGAGCACTTGTCTTTGGTGATAGATTAAGAATAAAAGTGGGTAAAAGACGTTAAGTCAACAACAGGCAAAAATTTAACTGATGTTTTATTAGAGGAACTAGATAAAATAGATTTGGAGATTAAGGACTGCAGAGGCCAAGGATATGACAATGGATCAAATATGAAAGGGTGGTATTCTGGAGTTCAAGCTCGAATTTTACAAATAAATCCAAGGGCGTTTTACATGCCTTGTGCAAGTCACAGTTTGAATCTCTTGATTTGTGATGCCGCAAAATCTTCACCTAAGGCTATAACTTTTTTCGGAATTGTTCAGAGAATTTATGTTGTTTTTTCAGCATCAATGAAGCGGTGGGACATTTAAAAAAAACATGATGGGAAAGTAAAATTGAAAGTGTAAAAGCACTTCGTTACCAGATTAAGCGACTGACGACCCTAAAGCAAAAAGTGAAGCTCGATCCCTTGTCAATGAACTAAGGAGCTATGAGTTTTTAGTAGCATTAGCTATTTGGTATGATGTGCTCTTTGCTGTAAATAGTGTAAGCAAAACCTTGCAGGCTGAAAAAATGCACTTAGGCATGGCATCGCAGTTGCTTCAAGGACTGGTACAGTTTTTTGAGCAATTTAGAAAAGGTTTTATTGCAGCAATAATGGTTGCAAGAGAAATGAGCAAACTTTTGGACATAGAGCCAAACTTTCAAATAGTCAAGCAAAGGAAAAAATGAAAAATGTTTGATTACGAAGGAGAAGATGAGCATGTTTTAGAATCTGCTGAACAAATTTTCAAAGTTGAGTATTTTTATTATATTGTAGATTGTATATTACAGTCCCTTTCAAGAAGATTTCAACAAATTGCTAGTTACAACAGTATGTTTGGATTTGTGTACAGTGTAAAAGAATTAAAATCAATTGAACAAGGACAATTGTTGGAAAAGTGCAAAGCCCTAGAAGCCTCTATAAGTTTTGAAGGGCAAAAGGATATCTGTGGAAATGATTTGTTCACAGAACTAAAAGTTCTTCGTGGCCTACTTCCCGCTGAAGTTGAAACAGCTGCTGGTGTGTTAAGATTTATGAACAGAATACAAAATCCATATCCCAACACGTTCATTGCCTACAGAATTTTACATACTATTACCAGAAAGGAGTTTTTCTCGGCTAAAGTTAACAAAGACTTACCTAAGATCATCAATGAGCCAAGAAAGGTTAACGTCTTTGGCAACATTATCGATAGAAGCAGACACCACGGCCAAAGTCAATTTTGAAGAAATTATTGACGACTTCGCTGGATTAAAAGCAAGAAAAATTAAGTTTAAGTAGTGTAAGAATATTATTGTTAAAGCAATACTTTTCAGCGGATTTAAATTTGTTTTAGTTTAGTATTAATAAGAATAAAAAAAAATTAATGACAAAATATTTAGCTTTTTTTTTAACTGAGATAAGGCACATTACAATGTTTATTTTTTAATGGTAGCGATATTGTGGTGGAGGTGGGAAAGAACGATGATGGTAGGTAGTTTATGAAAAAGAAGAGTCGAGAGCTATTTACCTACATAAAGGCCCTGCAAAACTATTTTGCACCAGGCCCCGCATTTGCTAAAGACGGCTCTGGTCTTAACCCTTTGATTAGTAAGTTTTATTTTACAACTCGATATCTACAGAGTGAGTTTTTTTATATTCTTTAAATAAAATCTTATCAATGTTATATATATATATATATATATATATATCATAATAATTGTAAATAATATATAACAAATATTAAAGCTTTTACAAGTTTTACAAGATAAATGGCAATTTCATGTAAAACTAGTGAAAGATGACTATCATATGTAAAGTTTTATTTTCAAAATATCAACAAACAACTCAGAACTAACAAAACTTTATTTTAAAACCTTCTTATAGTATGATATTCAGCAAAACAAGGATGAACGCATAAACCAGCGCCACATTCTTGGCACATAAATCTTGTGCTGTTCTTTTCTTCTCTCTTGTGGTGGTGTGTTTACAAACATGGCATTGTCTTTGTGTCCTCGATCCCTTTTTTTCAGTTTGTGGGACTGGTATGGGAAAATGTCTTTCCTTCAACCGAAGTGGTTTGTCACCAATGGAAGGTCTTCCGCCTCTACGATTTTTTCTTTCGGTTGCATGCTTTTCAAAAATTGGCCTCACCAGCTCAAGTCTAAAATTTGCTAGGTGGGGCTTCGTTCTTGTTCTCATTTGGAATAAGATGTATGCATTCAAAACGGCTAAATCCATCAAATGCATAAACAATTTTTTGTGCCATTTTACGGATTTTCTGGCCGTCAACAAAAAACTTATAACCATATCTGCTTTGTCTACAGCTCCCATTTTCAAGTTGTAATCAACTATACAGCTTGGTTTTACAATAGATTCACCGGCATTGAAATGTATTTTTCTCGTGTCTTTTATTTCATTTTTATGGACAGTTGTTAGTATGTGTACGTCTCTTTTATCGTGCCATTTTATCACCATCATGTTCTGTGTGTTTCATTTCAATTTCGCCCTTCTTCATTTTATTGGGGAAATTTTTAGGCATATCCTTCCTATTGTACTTTATTGTTCCACAAGACCCTGTATTTCTCATAAGTAAATAGCTACTTAGATGAGGACTTGAGTACCAGTTATCATAATAAATTGTATGACCCTTGTCTAAATGTGGCTCGAGTAATGTTGTAATTATAGAGCCAGAAATGCCTAAATCTGCAATATTATTTATTTCCGTAGAAGAACCAGTATAAACAATGAAATCAAGAATGAAACCAGTCTCCACGTCATATAAAACAAAAAGTTTTATCCCAAATCTGTATCTTCGAGGGTATGTATTGTTTGAAACTTAGTCGGCCTTTCCAAGGTACCAATACTTTCGTCGATGCACAAATCTTTAAAAGGTTTCATAGATGCTTTGAAACGACTTCCTAGCAACTCAATAATAGGTCTTATTTTCTGCAGTTTATCCCCTACATGTGGTTCGTTATTGTCAGAGAAGTGAAGCATTCTCAACAGTAAAGACAATCTATCTTGGGACATTATCTTTTCAAAAATAGGGGTTTCAATGAGCATATCTATACTCCAATAGTCCTTCCATTCATTTTTATTCATATGAGTGAAGAGCATTGTAATGGCAAGAAAAACATAGACTTCCTTATCTGTAGTATCAACCCATTTGTGTATTTTACTATTCTCTTCTGATGTCTTTGTATTTACAATAAATGTATGAAAATTATTTGTCTTTGATGTAATATGAGTTATAAATTCTGGTAGTATAATGGCAACAAAACAATCATACTCTGTTGGATTTTCTTCTAAAATTCTGTCACATATTCCACTGTTTATTAGTAATGGAAAGAAGGTTGGTTCATAATCAGCACTCTTGTTTTCCCAAAGAAAGTCATTTATATTTTGAACTATCGGATTCTCTTCAACATCACTTGAGTCACTATTGCTTACAATTTCTTGTTCACTTTCGGATAAGACCCAGTCAACATCACTAGAGTCACTATTACTTGTAATTTCTTGTTCATTTTCGAATAAGTCCGATTCAACACTTGTCGCAATTTTTACGCTCTTTTTGCGCCGTTTTCCAAACCCGACATTAATGGAACATTTTTTTTTCATCGAGTAAACTCTCGAATCGCAAATTATTCAATAAATTGCTTTTTGCGTTTTTGCTGCTATTTACTGCTGTCGTTTACACAATACAATGAACTGATTCCATTTTTCTCGTAAACACATAAGTGGCATTCACATCTGATGAGCCATGAGCGCCAAACGATACTTTATGTTCACCTAAACGAAGTTATTTATACTCTGAGAGTACAATCGGCCGAGAACGTACCGGTACGTTCATACTAATCAATGGATTAAGAACGTATCAAACTCATTTCTCTAATTTCAAAAATAAACGAAATATGAACATTTTTTAAAATCACGAAAATTTGACTTTTTGGCTATAACTTAAAAACAAAAGAAGATAGAGGCTTGGTGTTTGCTGGATTGGGTTAGTCTCGAAAAAAGAGACCGGGACATGGCACCTACTTTTTTCGTATCTCTTATAGTTTCTGAGATAGCCTATAATAACACCCAAATTTGCCCACCCTGTACCCTGATGTGACGTCATTGGATAAGCTGAATTTGTCTCAATTGGATTGCCTAAAGACTTAAATATACACCCCAACGCATTCCAACACTTAACTAATGAAACAAATAATACGATAAAAAAACCCTAAGCTTGCGGCTCGATACACTCCAATACTAGACTAAACAAATGAAAGAATACAAATAAAATCTAACAAAGATTATAGATTAGTATATATTTTTTTCTAAATTTTATTGCTTAGTCCTTAGTGCATTTCGGAATAAAAAGTTCTTCAGTTCACCTGTCATTATAATTATCGCTAGGTGAAGGTCAAATTTATATTTGCTTCCGTATAAGTAAACAGAAATCCTCAAAAATGCTCTTGTGTCTATTATCTTAATAGTAATTCTGAAATTGTAAGTATTTATAGTTATGTAATTAAGTATTTCTATTAATTATTCTTGAATATTAAATATAAAATAATTAACATGTTGTGGCTTTGTAGATGTCAGAAAAGAAAAAGCCAACAACTTTATCAGGGGCTCAGTGCAGAAAAAGAAAACCAAACAATTACAAACTGATCAAGAGTTGGCTGGTTCATTAAATAAATTTTTGGCACATTCACAAAAAAAAACAAAAAGTTTCAACTCAAACTGATGCTCCTCTAAAATCAGAGCAATCCGAACAAATAGGAAAAGTAGATAAGAAAGTAGATACGCAAGAAACAGAAGTTGGAACAAACACAGTTGAAGATGAAAGAAATATAGCTTTTTGTTCTAATATACAGTATGTCCCCGGATCGAGTTACAAAGAGGAAAAAAAATTTTATTACTGAATTTTCAAACTTATATAAAATTCGTACGATTTAGTGGCTTGAACTAGGGATGTTACGGATCTTCGCTTCGACTCCGAAAGATCGGAACTTCCGATTAATTTAACACCTCCGACTCCGACTTCGGCTCCGATAATTTTGAATCGGAGTTATCACGAAGATCGAAATATAGCAGTGTATAAAATTCAACGTGTCTCGCACGCTAGCGGGGTTCCCCGACGCGAGCAAATGCTTTACAGGCAGGTAGAACCTTCATTACCAATAAAACTAAATTAACGAAATAAAAAAAATATATTTTTTTTTACTAAAAAAAATGCTTTAACGTAAAGTAATTTGATTACGTTATAAACTCTTTGGCAGCACTGTGCGTCTACGTTAACGTTTGCTTGTTATTTCGTTTTTTTTTCGATCAATTTCGGGGAATCCCGCTTGCGTGTATTGTTCAGTTGTATTTTGTTTTTTCATTTGTGTGTTAGTCTAAGCTCGTCGCGCATCGACCCTTTAAAGATTCTAAATAATAACTTGTGAGTTAAGTATTGTTGATGTGATAGTATTTTATAGACTGAATAATGAAGCCTAAAACAAAATTCGGCAATGTGTAAGATATGTAAGAAAACCTATTCAAGAAAAGGAGGTACAACTACTTCGTTAAAAGGTCATTTAAAGTCGTTGTATATTACTGAATATGAAGAATGCATTAAGCTTGAAACTGAAAAAAAGCAGCCCTCGATTGCATCACCACTTCAAGAAGCTAAAAAACAAATGACTCTCCAAGACGCTTTGATGAAAAATCAAAAATGGGCGTCTTCAAATCCTAAATCAGTGGAAATTGATAATTTGATCTCTCAGATGATTGCTCTGCAGGACCTTCCATTCAATTTTGTAGAAGGTGTTGGATTTCGACGACTGTTGCAATTCATCGTGCCGAATTATCAGTTAAGGGGAAGACAGTTTTTTACGTCATTTATTTGTGATGAGTTGTATCCTAAGCTGGCCAGTAAGGTAGTGGATTTGCAGAAAAGTTTTACAAAAATTTCATTTACCACCGATGTTTGGACTGAACCCAGTTCCAATGTTTCCTTATTGAGTTTGACAGCGCATGGCATAACTGAAGATTTTAAGAGAATAAAACTAGTTTTGAAATGCCACCCTTTTGATGGCCGACATACAGGAGATGTAATTCAAGAAAAATTTAATAAGATGCTTCAGGAATGGCAAATAACGTCTAACAAAATCCACTGTTTCATTCGTGATTGTGGGTCAAATATGATACGTGCAATGAGGCTAGCTGATATCCCTGATGTCAGTTGTACCGTACATCAATTACAACTTTGTGTGAAAACTATGTTAGATTCTGATGAAGAAATGCAAAAAAATGTGTACGCATTTTAATCGTTCTCAAATTGCTCAAACGGAACTAAACAAAATACAAACAGGAGTGTAACACACGATAAAAAACTTACATAATTTAATTTAATTGAGAATTAAATTCCATATTCTTTTACCTTTATTTACAGGTGGAATAGCACTTTCTACATGCTGGAACGAATGATTAAAATAAAGGATTCGTTGTGCCTTTATGCTGGTAAACATAGTATGCCACAAATATCTCCTGCAGAATGGCTGTATCTCAACAAATTAGTGTCTATTCTTCAACCATTTGAAGAGGTTACCAGAAACATGAGTGATAGTAATACTAGCATTTCATTGGTAATTCTACTTATACACATTCTAAACCATACATTGAAACTGGAAGACTGTAAACCAGATACCTCCACAACATTTAAGTCCGCAATAAAATGTACCATCGAACAATTGAATTCAAGATTTATAAATCAAAATTTTTTAATGAAGTGACTAAAGAAAATATTGAGTCTGAATTGATGAGTTTGTTAGACAGCATGGATAACTCTGCAGCAAATCAAGCGGGAGACAATAATGCTGATGCTCCTGCAAAAAAACAAGTTTTTTTCCTCTTTGTAACTCGATCCGGGGACATACTGTATACATGCTATCAATGTCCACTTTAAGTTTTGATGCAAACGGTACTGGTTTTTGGCCAAAAATTCTATCTATTAAAACAAGAGATATATTAGTAGAAAATTCTCCTTGTCAAATAATTAAATATAATTTTCCAAAAGATGGTTAGGGTCGTAAATGTTCTGAAACGTATTATATCAGAACACTTCCAAATGGAGAAAAAATTGACAGAAATTATTTGCTGTACTCAATATCAAACAATTCTGTTTGTTGTTATTATTGTAAATTATTTGATAATGCGTTAAATTTAAAACTTAATAGTAAGTTAGGTTGTAATGATTGGCAACACTTATCACAAATACTAAAAAAACACGAAACAACTGCAATACACATTAAAAACAGTACAAAATACAACGAACTTAAAAAATCTTTAACTAACAAAACTACGATTGATGCAATAGAGCAAAGATTAGATACTACCGAAATAATAATAAAAACAATAAAAATAAAAATACAGGAGAAATTCATGAACATTTCTTGTGGTTTTGTGCAGTTGAAAGTACTACTGGACAAGGACTATATGAATTTATTTTAAAACAATTACAGACTTTGAATCTCCATATTTCCGATTTACGAGGTCGGGGATATGACAATGAGCTTCAGCAAAATATTATTTTTTCATGTTTGCACACATGCGGCTGATTAGCACGCGGCGGCACTGATTACGCGTATAATTGAAACATTGCAAAATGTTCCTATTTTTTTGTAATAAATAAAGAGTTTTGAATTGATAGTATTTATTACTATTATATTCCCAATAATCACAAAGTCAAAATTTTTGATGGCACGTCTATGACCACCTTAAACATTTCTTTAGAAAAATGGCACGTTGTCACAAATTTAAAAATAAAAGAATGGGGGAATCCCGCACTCGATTTTCTATGTAGTTGGGATAAAGTTAAAAATTTAAGGGAGAGCTAGAAAATATTTGATTCTCAATGTGGGCGGTAGAAGAAATTGGTTTGAGACTTTGAGAACGTCTGTTTCAAAGGAAGTTTATAATAAAAGTGTACTCCTAAATGTATGCAACCAACATAACTTATATGATATAGTTCTTTTTTAATGAAACTATTTTTTTATTTATTTTTACAAATAAATTAAAATGATATTTTATTCATAAAAAATATTCATAAGTTTACTGTATTTAATTAGTTTGCCAATTTTCGTTGAACCGTAATTTGTAAATTGTACCTAACTTCACAATTTAATTGACACATCAAAAATATCATCCATCACTGTCTCAACCGTAAAGTCACATAAATCTATCTTTCTCTGTGTTGGTATGTTGTGTATCAATGCCGGTAAGTTGGAGCCGGTTTATGTACAAGCTGGTGACGTACACATTTAAAATGATAAAAATATGTTAAAATTAGAAAATTAAGAACCTCTCACGCTTACAAGATCTTAAATTCACGCCAGAATCTCTTCAAATTTAGTAACAGTGTAACGATTTCCTAAATAAATTTACCGGCGTTGGTTTGCCTTGTTTTCATAACCTCATATCTTCGAAAATGTTGGGATTTGGAACAAAAACTCAAGATCCGAAGAAACAAACCGGACAAAATGTTAATTTAGAAAAACAGGAAACGTTATTAACCATATCGATACTAACGTTAGCGTCAATTTTGTGTAAGATTTTTTTGTCCAATTATCCAAGTATAAATTTTAATTTTTCCTCCTCTTTTTTTAAGCATTTGCAACAAGATTGTTTTCCGTTCTACGCTTTGAAAGCGTCATTCACGAATTTGATCCTTACTTTAATTATCGCACTACCAAATACTTAACAGAAAATGGATTTTATTCATTTCACAATTGGTTTGATGATCGTGCCTGGTATCCTTTAGGAAGAATTATTGGAGGTTAGTTTGTATTTTTATTATTAAATTAAGAATTATTTAGAAGATTTTTAACTCACATTTTACTTTTTTAGGTACAATTTACCCAGGTTTAATGGTAACATCAGCAATAATTTACCACATGTGTTGGTTGTTGAATATTACCATCGATATTCGAAATGTATGCGTATTTTTAGCCCCATTATTTTCATCTTTTACAACCATAGTAACTTACTTGTTAACAAAAGAGCTTAAAAATTCTGGAGCTGGATTGGTAGCAGCTGCAATGGTTGCAATCGTTCCAGGTTATATTAGCAGATCTGTAGCTGGAAGTTATGATAATGAAGGCATTGCAATTTTTTGTATGCTCTTAACTTATTACACTTGGATTAAAGCTGTTAAAACAGGCACTATTTTATGGGGCACTTTAGCAGCTTTAGCTTATTTTTATATGGTAATTATAAATGATAACTAGTATCTGTGCTAAAAGTCATGGCCCCTCTAATTTAGAGATTAATATCTTTGCAACTTTATTTCAATATTTTCAATAACATTTTGGCCTTCTGCAGATGTGCTGCTTCCAAACGACGTTCTTGGACGCTTCATGGCTATTTTCTTTGAGCTTCAGTCAACACAAAGCATAACAGATTCAAAATTATTCTTCTTTTAAGATTTCCTGCTTCATTTTTATTATTTAGAAAACAAATTATTTGAGCCTTTATGCTAGCAAAGCTTATTAAGGATGAAATATGACCATATATGACCACTTTTGTATATTGCTAAAACGTGATGATTTCTGGGTTTTATCTCTCTTCACTTGTTGAATTTATCCTGTGATCAAAGTACATTATTAATGTAACATATTCACACAAAATATATTCAGAAGTCTCTGACTTATCATTGCAAAGCTGACAAGTTTGATTTATTTATTTAAATGTGTTTGGGATGCAGACGGGTCAAGCCCAGCGCAGCATCCGCTAGTAAGTACAATAAAAAACAAAAAAAATGCAGTTAACAAGAATTCTTAACAAAAATAGATAATTCTGAATAACAAGAAAACGACAATGATTGAAATTAACAATAATATATAAACAAAAAAAATCAACAGATAATATATTAACAAAAGTAAAAATAAAAGAAAAAGCAGTCAGCTTATATTAGGTTTGTTCGGAGAAGCAGTTGCTGACCGATTTGAAACTTGTTTTAAATGCGCATGCGTGATTTGGTATTGGTTGGAAATCGTTCCAAATTGGATGCTCTACGAACAGTCATTTTTAGATCAAACTGTTTGATCGCTGGGTCATCTGACGGAGAATCCGAATAACTTCGTTGTTTTTAGTTTTTGGTTAGGAAGTTAAGTTAGATTAGATTATTAGCTAGTAAATATAAATTAAATGAATACTGCAGAAATGACGGAATTCAACGTATTAGATGAAAATTCCAACAAAAGCGTGTCATAGACACGCAAAAGTACTTTGGTGCTACTTGATTTGTACAAGAAACACAGAAAAAGCGTTGGAACGTTAAAAGTGCGAAATTTTAAAAAGATGTGGGAAATTATAGCAAGTTTTGTTGTTTTGTGTAAATGATTGACGAAATGCGCATGTGTGTCACAAAAATCAGAATTATTTGCAGCTCTGGCAAGAAATTATTCTGACGGTTTGTTTTCAGTTGGAAATCAGTCAGCCAAGTACTACGAACGTATTACGCGATTAGAAAAATCACAAATTTGTTTACTGCGACACTTAAAACCTAATACGCATGCGTAATAGTAAGAAATCAATCAGCAATCGTTCTGCGAACAAATCTATTATTATTGCTTGTCGTACTCAATGCCAGGACACACCATGAACTTTCCCTCTAAACGACGACAAGGGGGCAGCGAATATGTCAAAATCTGAGCAATAATGGTTGAACATAGACATAAGGCGATTAATCGCGGAGTTTGAAAGCACATAGCTATTAGTGCGCGACACAAAGAATAGTGACTTTACACCGGATGGGCGCGCTGGAACTTTAAACTGCATCTCAGAGAGTATTGTGGAGCAGTCAACAGTACCGTTAATAAGTTTGCAGAGAAAAATTAAATCATTTATATTGCGCCTGGAGGGAAGCTGCGGGATGCTGAAAACTATGCATCTCTGGTCGTAGTCGCAGTAAGGTAAGAAAAATTTGTGTGCAAGGTACCTAAGCAAACGCTTTTGTACTTGCTCCAAGCGATCAATGTAAATGCGATATTGGGGGTTCCAAACTGTAGATGCATAGTTAAGTATTGAAGACACATAGGCGAAATAAAGTGAACGAATACAGGATAGATCAGTGAAGGGTCGACATGTACGACATAAAAAGCCGAGCATCCGGGAGGCCTTATTAACAATAGAATCAATGTGAGCGGAGAAAGTAAGTTTGGAGTCGAAAAGAACGCCAAGATCTCTAACGCATTCGGATTGTTTGAGGGTGTTAGAGCCAAGCAAGTAATCAAAAGCAGTAGGATAGCGTTTACATGTGAAAGTAATCTTGCTGCACTTGTCATAATTAATATAAAGATTATTAATTGTACAATATGCTTGTAGTCTGTCCAAGTCGCTTTGCAACTTTGCACAGTCTTCAAGCGAGCAAATAGGTGCAAATATCTTGCTGTCGTCGGCATACAGAAGGAATTTTGAGTGGTGAAAGCAGGTATGGATGTCGTTGATGTAAAGCAGAAACAGCAACGGTCCCAGATGGCTGCCCTGAGCTACACCGGAAGTAATATCTCTGAATGTTGAGCAATAATTATTAATGGCAACGGCTTGTGATCTGTCGTATATATACGAAGAAATCCAGTGAATTAAGCCATTGGGAATATCATAATTAGAAAGTTTTTTCAAAAGAATTCTGGGCATGGTCTATCCTGTCAAAAGTCTTACTATAGTCAGTATATATGACATCGACTTGGCTGCTATTATCGAGAGTATTTAATAAAAAATTAGAAAACATAATTGAATTAGATTCCACTGACCTACCCCGAAAAAAACCATGTTGTTCAGGGATTAAGGCTGATTTAACATTAAACATAAGCAAATCATAGACAAGCCGTTCAAAGACTTTTGAGGCTATTGACAGGATAGAGATGGTTCTATAGTTAGTTACGCGCGCCACATTTATGAATGGGAATTATTAGTGCCTTCTTTCATTCAGATGGATAAGGCCAGTGGTTCAGTGAGCACCGATGCACATTCACGGTAGAATAGGCCGGGCAGACCATCCGGACCCTCTCCAGCTCTGGGTCTCACGGATGACAATTCACGCAAAATGTCGTCCCGAGTAAACCAGGGTTCGATGCATGGGGAGGATTCATCCATCAACAAATACAGATCAGAAATAATCAGCGAAACGGTCGCAGATATCCTGTCCCCCCTCAGCCACCCGATCGCAATAGGACAACTTACCGGGAATAGTTATGCTACCATTCTTTTTTAATTTAATGAAAGACCACAGACCGCTTGGCTTATCACGTATGTTAGATTGTATGGTGCCTAGAAACAGATTATAATCATTTGTGATTAGGGCTTTAGTACGAGCACGGAGAAAACGAAAGGTTTCGTAATAAGAATGGTTCCCCGTGGTCTTCCACTTCTTATGGAATTTAAGTTTTTCCTTAATGGCTTTAATGGTTGGTAGAGAGTACCAGGACGGAAATTTACGTTTATAGGTAGTTTTCTGAGGAACAAATTTGTTGACCGCTCCACGAACAATGGAGTAAAACATGCTCACTGCTTCATCAACCGATAAACGACCAACAGCATCGTTCCAATCCACAGACGCGAGACATGAACGCAGACTCCCATAATCAGCTTTATGAAATAAGTTTTTATGAAAACGATTGTCGCGGAGAGGGCGCTGCGAGACACAATTAATTGAAAGTAGTAAAGCAGGATGATGGGTATCCACGCGCAGCAATGGTTCAAGGCATTGGGCAATGTCGGTAATATTGTAGAAATTGTTCAGAATCAGGTTTAAAGTTCTGTCATTAGCATTGCGCACGCCATTAAATTGCCCTAAGTTACAATAAAAAAGTGAACTTAAAAATAAACATGAACGTGCGCCACTGACATTTGACGCAACTAAAGACTGCAATTGCGACGGATACCATGAAATATCGGGAAGGTTAAAGTCTCCAAAGACAAGAATCTTATGGTCAGGGTAGCCGTCACAAACAGTTCGCAAGTTTACAAGAAATAGCTCAAGCGAATCTAGATCAGCGGGCGGAAGATAAACACAACAAAGAAGCAATCGATCAACACCGCACTGCACCGACAACCACAAATCCTCAACCTTCGAAGATTCTACCAATTTGCAGCATATGATGTTAGATCTAACCGCAATAAGAACACCTCCACCGTCGGCCTTAGCAGATAATGATTATTCACGATCCCGACGGAAAACGTTGTACTGGGCATTAAATAGTTCACCATCGTTAATAGAGCTATTCAAAAACGTTTCGGTGAAGCAAATTATATCAAATTCGGAATCGCTGGTGTTCAAGAACAAAGTGTTTGTTTTAGATCGTAAACCGCGTACATTTTGGTAATAAACGCTAATCTGCATCAATCGTTGAGTTTGTCAAGGTCTGAGGCGGATTTAATAGGAACAGCCCTATCGTTGCGACGAACAAAAATAGCTCCTTGTGAGACCCAGTGGTATTTGAAACCTTTGGATCGGGCAGCGTCGCGGGTAAGTTTTAAGAGGCGCTTGTTTTCAGGCGAAAGATGTTCGTTCACAAAGATTTTTTCGGATACTCCAGAAACTTCCAAGCCCGGTGTCGCGGGAGCGCGTTTTTTTGCTGCTTTTGAGGCGACTAGAAACTTGTTACGGATTTGGTGCGACAAGAATCGAACTATAATATTACGAGGACGCCGAATGGTAGCAGACGCCGCTGTAAGCTGACTCTGAACACGGTGCGCCACGTCCATGTCAATAAGCGACAACTCCAAGTCAATAGTAGTACCGATCTTTTGGACGATAGTAGCGACGTTCTCGTTAGCCGTTTCCGGAACAGCCTGTATCTCAAGGTTGGATAGGCGGGTATGTTGTTCCAAAGCGTTAACCCTTTGGCGTAACTCCCGATTTTCCTCTCGGAGAGAGTCGACCTCAGTACAACGGGACTGCAGGTCGCCGATCAATTTTTCGTAATCCGTGAATCGGCCGCAGTGTCGCATACTTTTCTGTAATGGTTTCTGCTGGTTGCAGCTTACCAAGAGGGTTTCGTGGTTAGTTGACGGTTCAGAAGCTGAAGAATTTACAAGCGCTCCGTCGGGGGTGGGCTCAGCATCCGCCACCGCCAGGATCGATGTATTACCCAGGTCTCGACAATTGGTACATCGCCATGACGAACCAAGCAGCATCAGGGCAGCGAGTGCGGTTGGGGGGAAGTCAACGCAGCGAGCATGGAAGAAACCCCCACACGCCTTA